TCCTGTTTCTCTCCTGTAGCTATGGGCTCAGCTTTTACTGGAACTAACTGGATGCTCCCTCTTTCATCCTTTGCTTAACCGTTTCTTTCCCAGACACAGCAACATGTGGAGCTGGTTTACCGTTATATTTTATTACATAGAAATGATGTACGTTTCTATGTTAGTCTTGCATATCTTCTTCTGTCTCCTTGAAATCCCAGCAAAAGACCACTCACACTGACCCTGGTTCTGCTTGAAGTTTCTTAAAATATTGTTAAGTTCTAGTCTCCCGTATTTTTATTGGTTACATCAAATAGTTTGAATCAAAAGTATAATGAAACAGTCACTATTAGAGTTTCAGTACACTCCAACTATTATTTCCTAATTTGATCACAAAATTGAGCTCACATTTTGCTGGACAAGAAAATAAAAGCGTTTTACAGGGTCAGCCTGTCTATATACGTATCTCAGTTTATTCTCATCTCTTTATCAGTGAATTTATCTGCCCAGTGTATTAGTTGATTATTCATATCTTGTTATTATTTTCTTAGTTCTGACAACATTTACTGTAGCTTTAGGTATTTTATTCAAAATAAAGAAATACAACTGGCTTCTTGTTCTAGGCTGTTTTATGGTATCTGGTGTTTTTCTCTCTTCCGTTAGCTAATGTCTCACTCTGACTTAATCCAAGTTTAATAGATGGCAAACCCTTTTCAAGAGGTCACAGAACTATTAGTGTAAGATCCACAGTTTCCAGAAAGAAGCAGGCTATTGATGAGCAACATCATTTAAAAGGCATCATGAGAAAGACTCTAAATCAACTGATATTCAGTTACCATCTAATGATAACTGAAATACTAAGGAGCTATTCTAAAAAAAACTAATACTAATACTAATACTAGCTCTTGCACAACCAAAGGGGAAAAAAAGAAAATGCCTAATTCTGAAAAATACGTCCAATTCTACGCCTACCGTATGTCTACCACATTCCTGCCACTTAATTTATTCAATGCAAACCCAAATGGTTTACTTTTTCAACAAGAGTGGTTCCCAATTTAAATATGACATCAATAAACCCATTAATTTAATGAAGAAAATAAAAAAAAAAACAGCGTTCTCACTCTCCATATAAAGGAAAGTAAAACATTACTTAACTTATGACATCACAAAAAATCTAATTTTTGTAATGTTTCCCTCCCTGCCTCATTATAATTT